ATACTTCACGTGATGATATTAAGTAAAGCGACTAGAGCGACTATTAGGATGATAATTAAACACCACAGTCCGCAATTGTTGTGTCGGGTGAGCACCTCTGTAAGTCGACCCGGCTATGTGTGATGCCCTCCTGTGTATGTGATGCTTGGCTGTTGAGGCCGTCCAGGAGATCGTTGTGAAGGGAGATCTGAAGGGAGTATGAACGCGCATGATGGCAGCGAGAAAATTCTGGGGAATTTCCGTTAATTTGATGCACATCGTGGAACACTCGGCTACGCTGTTTTTGAGACGAGAGGATTCCAACATGAAATTTATGGATGCGAGACGCTTTATTTCACGTATTCCATCAGCTGGTACGAAGTAGTGAAGAACACAACCAAAGGAGCCAAATATATATTCCAACACTGTCATACTCCCGAGGGAAAAGCGACATACTTCATTGGAAATAGCATTGGACATGTGATTCAAATTGCCAACAGTGCCTTCGAGCTGAGCTAACTCCTCGTCTTGGTCAGCCATCATCCTCGCGTGATCTGTGAAGACCAGTGTTGGAATATATATGTTCGCTTTTCTCAGGTGAGTTCAGCAGTTTCCTCACTTTACTATGAAAATTTACACATGACTGAGGTAAAAGTGTACAGAAAACAATGAGGAATTTGCAAAATTTTATCAGAATTTTCATATCAGCACCAATACATAGTAGACAATATGCGTATTTTCCCACACTGGTGAAACCAATGAGAACTGCCTTCAACAACGGACTAGACGTAGTAATGCTACCTTGCATTATCTCTCGGTTGGACATATGTAATTGTTCACCGCTTCTGGGTACGTGATTATCCTGCCTGCCTGGGTGGCTCGCCATCTAGCATATATGATAAGAAAGAAAGCCAGCGTTGGAATATATATTAACTTTCCTCAGCTGAGTTGGGGAGCTTCCGCACTAGTTATGGAACTTTACACACGAATTCTGGTAGGATTGCACAGAGATCGACAAAAATATCCCAAAATTCCCTCAGAATTTCCATATCATATTATAATTACCAACACATGTAGTTGACCATGTGCATATTTTCCCACACTGACCGTAGTTGAGCTCCAATCTACTTTACGGGTCAATGACGTTCCAACAACTTATTCCCAATCTCGTTTTCGATACAGAAATTTCACAGCGGATTTTTCGAAACCCACCGAGATGCCAATGAAATAGAATTGCATAAGCTGTTCACAGAAACTATCCTGTTGACTTGAGTACCTATACCCTATCTACCTCAGAAACACACATGTGTTCGCTTCAAATATTCCGCATGATACTCCTACATCGCCATTACGACTAAAAACACAACTCGACAAGGTAGCATCTGGATAGCACTTCTGATTGGGAATAGTGCTGAACCAACAACGATCAATACTGCCAATTTTTTACGAGCACGACCGCAGGGAAAAATCAAGTATATAGTCATTGAATAGAAGTCTACTCAGCTGCTGAGAGACTCCACTCACTACTTAACGTGAAAAATAATGTAGAGACCACCCTAGAGATGATCTATGTCCACCAGTACCAAAATCAATTATCATTGCTGATTTTGATTCGAGCATCGCTCAAGTTCTTCATAGCTTCCTCCCAAACCGCAGACTCAACCTTAGATGAAAGAATCTTCGTGGCCTGTTCCCACACGTAGGCCCATGCCTTAGGGTCACGAGCACGATAACCAACTTTAGTTCTCAAATGTTTAGCATCTGGCCCAAGGGCCCACTTGAGCTTCTTATACGGATACAGCATAAACCTGGGCACGACGAGGTCAGTCATGATAGCCATGAAGGAACCGCAGCGTTGGACTACAGGATAAGGAGAGAGGTACCCATCAGCTGTAGGATCGTTACAAGCAACGATGGTAGTCTGGGCGCCTTCTCGAGCTGTCAAAAAGGCCGTAGCAGAGAGGCACTTGAGAAACTTTGATCGCTCTCGCCATATGTCGCTGTCAACACCGCCCGGATTAGCAGCGACAGTCCTGAGTCCAGTCAGACGAGCCAACTCGAATGCGAAGACAGTCATAGAGTATTTGCTGCCATAGTAAACCTGCTCCTTAGTGTAGCCCTCAGGTTTACCCATGTGCTCGCCGAGAGTGTACGGATCGACCAATCTGTGAGAGACCGATGACAACATGATAACCGCAGAGTTTTCTGCCGCCCGTATGATGGGTAGTAGTAATAGAGTCAATAAGAAGTGTGATAAGAAGTTACTTTGCCAGGTCTCGTCCAAGCCATTAACCGTAGGAGTTTGAGTACGAATGTAAACCCCCGCGTTGAGCACCAGCCTGTCCAACTTGTCATAACGCTTCTTGAAGTCACTCACGAACTTCACGACTGAGTCGAAGTTGGCGAGATCGCATTCCATAACCACAGCTCGTTCACCAAGTACACGACGACCTTTCTCAACGTTACGAACAGCGGCAACAACATGCCAGCCGTCCTGCATGAGAGCCTTTGCGGCTTCCAACCCAACGCCGGCTGAGGCACCAGTGATCAGAATGGTACCGCGAGATGAGGTTGCGTCTGTAGTTGAGGTTGTAGTTGCGGCCATTAACAACAATGGATACTTCAGAGAACAATGCAACTCGATGGAGCGTAAATGAATTATTCAGTTAGTGAGGGACTTGGCATTCTAACCAAGGAGGTGCTGCAAAACGCAAGGTCATCCAAGGATGATAAGTAGACGGAGCAACGGAGGAGCCAGCTAGCTTGCGCGAGTCGGTATATAGCGGTAACAGAAGAAAGAGCTCGGCAGCATTAGTTTCGTGTCGGAAAATTGCGTTGATGGCATCGATCGAGATGGCGCACGCGATTCGTTCGACTTGAAGTCGTCTAGCAAATCGTCGACGCTGCGTTGATGTGGAGACCGACGTGATGGACTACACGAGTTTAGATTGATACATGAGGGTCACACATGTCTGAGCGCTGGAGGCCCTGAACGAAAATTGGCACCTTCTGATCTCACTCGTTAGCTCTTTTTCGCTACTTTTCAGATGTCCTCTACTGCTGTTCCCACCAAGAAGTGGAATCCTCGATTCGCCGGTGCCGTTCCCCACACCACTGACTACTATCTGAAGTGTCTTGCCGGCGGCGCTTTGGCTTGCGGAACTACTCACACTATGATGACTCCAATCGATGTCGTTAAAGTGAACATGCAAGTGAACCCATCTAAGTACCGCGGTCTTTTGTCCGGTCTTGGTACTCTGACGGCTGAGGAAGGTATCCGTTCTGGTGCCTTGAAGGGCGCTGCTCCCACTTGCATTGGATACAGTTTTCAGGGCATGTTCAAGTTTGGCTTGAATGAGGTGTTCAAGGATCAGTACAACTCTCTGGTCGGTGAGGAAAACTCGATCAAATATCGTGGCCTGATTTGGGCGGCTGCTGCTGCCAGCGCTGAGTTCTTTGCTGATCTTTTCCTCTGTCCTTGGGAGATGATCAAGGTCAAGATGCAAGCCTCTCCTACTGGCACCTTTCCTCTTGGCCTTCGCGGTGCATGGAAAGAAATGGCTGCCAGCAAGACTGTCACTGGCTTCCCTATGGGTTCCCTGGTTCCTCTCTGGTACCGTCAAATTCCCTACACTGTTGTTAAGTTTGTTGGTTTTGAGTACACTGTTGAACAGATGTACAAGCATATCTTCACTCGCCCGAAGGATTCCTATTCGAAGGCCACCCAGC